GTTTCTCCCTAGAATACCCTCCTTCCACCCCCACTACCTTCCTCCCACTCCTGCACATGCATGCACTCTGAGCAAGGAGACCAGTACAATCAAACTATTTTCTATGAGAAATATTTGATTGGACCACAGAGAGGGAGGCTGTGACATCAGACGTGGCACGGAATCTGGCGAGGGGAGCTTCACTCAGCGCTGGATTCCAGGTAAGTGTATACTTTAAGAATTTTTAAGGGGGAGAACCTAATAACTAATTTCCAATAAAGCATTCTGTATTTAAAGAAAAAAATTATTTATAACAAGATATAGCAAGATATTACTTTGCTGCAGAGGGATTTAGATAGACTGGGGGACTGGGCACTCAAATGGCAGATGAAATTTAAAGTTGAAAAATGCAAAGTTATGCACTTTGGCGTAAAGAATACACAAGCAACGTATACCCTTAATGGAAGCGAATTAGGGATAACAACACACGAAAAGAACTTGGGAATTGTTATAGACAACAAACTATGCAACAATGTGCAATGTCAATCAGCAGTGGCCGAGGCCAGTAAGGTATTGTCATGCATGAAAAAGGGCATTCATTCTCGGGACGAGAAAATCATTTTGCCTCTTTATAAATCACTGGTAAGACCCCATATTGAATATGCTGTGCAATTTTGGGCACCTGTTCTAAAGAAGGATATTATGGCACGAGAAAAAGTGCAGAGGCAGGCTTCAAAATTAATAAAAGGAATGGAACATATCAGCTATGAAGAAAGGTTAACAAATTTAAACCTATTTAGTTTAGAAAAACGTCGCCTTAGAGGGGATATGATAACATTATACAAATATATTCGGGGCCAAAACAAACCATTGTGTGGAAATCTATTCACAAACCGGACTTTACATAGGACACGAGGCCATGCGTTTAGACTGGAAGAAAGAAGATTTCGTCTAAGGCAAAGGAAAGGTTTTTTTACTGTAAGAACAATAAGGATGTGGAATTCTCTGCCTGAAGAAGTGGTTTTATCAGAGTCCATACAGATGTTCAAACAGCTACTAGATGCATACTTGCAAAAACAGAATATTCAAGGATATAATCTTTCAATGTAGGGTAATAACTGCTTGATCCAAGGATAAATCTGACTGCCATTCTGGGGTCAAGAAGGAATTTCTTTCCTAGCTTGTTGCAAAATTGTGCTTCAAACTGTTTTTTTTTTGCCTTCTTTTGGATCAACAGCAAAAAACAAATGTGAGGTAGGCTGTACTTGATGGACGCAAGTCTTGTTTCAGCTATGTAACTATGTAACGTATCACTTTCTTTAAACAATCATAATTGCTAAAGTGTGAATTGTCAGAAATTCTAATTTGAATATAAAATTTTAACCCAAAATAGCTGAATTGGGAAATGTGAGCTATGTTCAAAAATTAATTTTGAATTTACTTTGAATTCCTGACAATCCACATTTTAGTGAATAAGCCCACCAAAGAGAGGCCGGAATGTTTCTATGCATGAGCAGAGACCAACATACGGAAAAGAAGAAAAAATAAATAATAATATCTGTGCTTAAATTGTGAACCCAAGTTTAAAGAAAAGTTTCCTATGGGAAATGTACATGGGCGACAAAGTAAAATTTTATTTCAGATGACTGATAGTAAAATAAATAATGCAAAACAAACGATATATGACCATTCTTTTAACATGCAAGTTAATTAAAAATTAAAAGCAGACACACTTGGATTGACACACTGCTAATGTGTGACATATTTGCTCTATGAATTGTTGAATTAAACCTTCTGATGTGTTTTTTTTAGATTACTTAGAAATATCACCTATAAAACAATAAAATAATAATTGTACCCAGTACGCAGCTTAAGTACCATAAAAATACAAAGGGCTTTCTGTGCTTATTGCAATCACTTACCAACAGCCTGTAACATTTAAAATGACTTGTGGTAAAATTAGCCATTTCCATGGTACAAAATGCCACCGTCCGCGAATAATAATTAGTGGCTGCTGTAACATTTAACATCCCCTATTGAGATTAACAGGAGATGAGAAATGATGAGGCACTGGCGTACATTACGCGGTCGCAGGGGTTGCAGCTGCGAACGGGCCCGGCCCACCAGGTATGTAGGCCAGTTTGCCAGCCTCTTCTCCTGGGGGGACCAGGAGCTAGCCACCTCAGGGCCCCCCGAGGCTGGCTGTGGTTGTCTGTTTGCGGGCGGGCACGCAAGAGAGCATTCTCCTCTGAGCTCTCTCTGCCCAGCTCCCTCGCGCGCACAGCAATGATGCCGGAGCTGGAATATGACATAATTCTGGCTTCAGCATCAGTAAGCGGCGCGCGAGGGAGATAAACATGAAGATCAGTGCTCCCTCGCCGCCTGCAGGACCAGCCGCCGGGCAGCCCCACTGGACCCCAGGGAATCCCCTCAGCACTCCCAAAAAGTAGAGAGGCTGGGGGATTACATTTAAAAAAAAAAACATGAGTGTGTGTGTGTATGTGTGTTAATTTTTGTGTGTTACGGTGTGTTACTGTGTGTGTGTGTCTGTTACTGAGTGTGTTAGTGTGTGTCTGTTATTGAGTGTGTCAGTGAGTGTGTTAGTTTTTGTGTGTGTTAGTTTGTGTGTGTCTGTTATTGAGTGTGTGTCTGCTAGTGAGGGTCAGTGTGTGTGTATCAGTGAGTGTGTTACTGTGTGTCTGTTACTGAGCGTGTTAGTTTGTGTGTGTCTGTTAATGAGTCTGCTTGGTGTCTGTTAGTGAGTGTGTGTTTGTCAGTGAGAGTGTATGTTTTGTAAGTGACTGTGTATGTCTATCTGTCAGTGAGTGTGTACGTACGTCTGTCACTGAGTGTGTGTCTGTTAGCTAGTGTGTATGCATCTGTTCATGAGTGTGTGTGTGTGGTTACCTTTCTCCAGCGCCGGGCTCCCTTGGCGCTGGGGGAATTCTCCGCCCCGATCAGATGTCTTTCTTTCTTCAAAATCTTCTTTTGCTCAGCCCCAAAAAATGTCAAATAAAAATCTCTTAAACTAAAACAGAAAAACCCAGATCACACTATAAATAGAGGGGGGGGGGGGGAACACAATGCAATAAAAATAATCCATGAGATTGTTATAGTGCCCAGAGTATTCCTTTAATTTTGTAAATTTACATATTTGTATTTTATTTATTAATTCATCTTTTGCAGAAATATTGTTTTTTAAATAATGAGGATAAATTATTTGAAATCATACACCTATCTTGCAATATTTACTGATGTTCCAAAAGATATACAGTGGAACCTCAGAACGCGAACTTAATCCGTTCCAGAAGGCTGTTCAAATTCCGATGTGTTCGGGAACCGAATCAACCTTTCCCATACGAATTAATGGAATTATGATTAATCCGTTCCAGACATATCATGTACCAGATGTGATCATGTACATCCGGTACATCCAATCCTTCCTGACTACAGTATCGCCAACATGCAGTCACTACAGTATTTGTGTTCACTTTTACAAAAAAATCTGCCAGCCACCTGATAGCCTAACGTGGAACAGCAGTGTCCCAAAAGATTGCTCAACAGGCACTCACCTCCGTCATGACCCCCAAGTTGCTGCCACTCATGTAGACAGGACTCGTCCAGTCATATTTTCTATCTGTCAAAGGCTGACCTGGCATGTAGCTCCCCTGCATTTACACAAAGTCCACTGCAGAGAACGACCGCCACAGCAAGGGCACTGCCCATCGAAGTCGAAACCCGACACAAGCAGCTCACCCACCGTATCCATCAACCTCTCCAGAATATAGCCTGACTACTGATGCTCACGTAGAATCAGCATGGGTGTCACTGATTAAGATTACCATAGAGGTGAATGCCGCGTGATGTGTTCGGGTACCGAGGATCGTTCGCGTACAGAGACATTTAGAACGTAAAATTTTAATTTGAATTCCGAATTGTTCGTGAACGGGAACGTTCGAGTTCCAAGGTTCCACTGTATAGGAGAAATTCGACACTAAGTGCAAAATGTGTCAAATACCGTAGTGTTTGATATTTACGTGGGATCTGCTAGTATTTTTGAGAATGTAGCTTTTTGTAAAATGCCATTGGAATGTAAAGAGCATGTCAGTATATGAGTATTTACATTACTTTATTCAACATCAGTGGCTTCCAACCCGGTCATCAATAAAATGTCCAGGTCTTGTCAGTATCCCCACAGGAATAGAACTGGGAAATGTCTAATATCGTCAACAGTTCGTGTACCTTGAGAACTAGGTTGTGAACCACTGCTCTAGATGATAAATCAGGGCTCTAAATTCCTTTATCATTTCACTGTATTTCTTAAAGGAACACTATGTCAGGAATACAAACATATATTCCTGACACCATGGATCTAAATAGATGTTTAGTCCACTGATCTCCCACCCCTGGTTAAAAAAGTTATTTAATCACCTTTTTCCAGCGCCGCACAGGTCCGGTTGCAGCTGGCCATGCCCACGCTCCGCTCCCTTGGCTGAGATCATCAAACTTGATAATGTCCGCCAACCCAGTGCTTTCCCTTAGGAAAACAATGGGAGGCTATAGTGTATGTGCAGCAAAACACCACTCTGCGCCAATCAGCATCTCCTCATAGAGACGCATTGACTCAATGCATCTCTATGGGGTAAGTTCAGTGCTTCCATGCAGAACAGAGAGAAGCTAAACGTGCAGCACTGACCCAGGAAACACCTCTATTAGCTGAGTGTTGGCCACCAGGGGTATAACTAGGCAGCAATGTTAACACTGCCTTTTTTCTGAAATGGCAGTGTTTACATTAAAAGGTCTGCAGGGACATACTATAGACACCAGAACAACTACAATAAATAGTCATTGTTCTGGTGACTATAGTGCCCCTTTAAGACTCACTAACTCACAATGTGTGTGTTTATATATAGTTACCTTTCACTAACAACACAGACATTTTTGATGTGATTAGGTTAACCCCATGTGTAAACTAGAAACTCAAAAGATGGAATAGTCTGTACTTATTAAATATTTCAGGTGAAAGACGTCAGGTTTTGTTAGTGTACTAAAAATATGTTACAATTAGTGTCAGATATTTATTTTACTGTTTTATGACATGTTTGACAACCTTAAACCCAGGCTGTACATTAAACTAAAGGAAATTCAGACTGACTAGATGACAAATAATAATGTAGTGTACAGTTCGCCATAACACAACATGTTCAGCATTATCTTGAAAATGATGCATACAAACCTCTAGACAAAGTTAAATAAGGATAAATCTTTACACAAAAATATATTTAAAAAAAGAAAAAAACATGAATAAATGTGTCGCAGGAATTTTATCATTGTTAATCAAGGATGAAACCAGAAGGAACTACAATGCGTAATTGATAGCTTTCCATTTTTTGGCACATAAATGCAGCATACTACAGAACATCAATTTACATGTGTTGTCAATTAGCATTAAAAATTACAATCTTGATTTAATATTTTTGGACAAACTTTTCAAATGATTTATCTACAAAAATTTCTAGACTTTCATGGTGACTTCTGTAAAAGAATAATTTGAAACGTTTTCATAAAGCTTATCGAAAAATTGAGGCTTACCTGTATGTAAGTAATATTTGGCAATCCAAAGTAGGTATGAACAGTATAAATTCTTCTAAATAAAAAATTGAAAGGTTCCACACAGATTATTATACAATTATTCAGACTGAAACCTGAAAAGACATAATGTGTTTACTAAACAGTGATTGTAGGTGCCCTTAAATCGCTTAAAACCGAAATTGTATCTACCCCGCACAAAGGGTTCTCGCCTACTAGGAACATTAAATTATCACAACGTAAGCCCAAAAGCAAAGACCCCTTGTTTACCAACAATTTCCAGGCTGCTCTCGGGACTCTGGCAGCCTCACGATTTGTTGCCTCAATTATCCCATGAGGGCACGCGGAAGAGCATGAAGATGCCACATGGGATGTGTCACTCTCCAGTTTAGATGATACATCAAGAATTTTACATCAGATGAGCATGGCTCGCTCTTACCTGGCTTGAGAGGTCGAGTGCAGTGCTACGGAGGATAAAGTGGATAATCACACTGAGAAGTTAGAGTCCAGAGTGCAGGCAGTGGTGACGGCCCATAACGAGGCAATCAATCACACCAACAACATTAGCGCCAGATTAGAGGAAGAAGAAATGCTACTTGAAGACTTGGTAAACCGCTCAAGGAATAATAATATCTGCATCTATGGGATGTAAGAAGATGCACAAGAGGTTAGGCCCCACTGTGTTAGACATATTCCAGCCAGTCATGTAGCATGGATTGCCAGTGCTCGGGCCAAGGCAAGGTATTGTACCATTAGCAATCCCCAAGTCCCTTAACTGTCACTTAGATAGTCTTGCTTCTCCTTCCTTATCTGACTTGTCTCCGTGAAAGTATAATGTATAAACTTAATCTGTCGGCGAACGCCTACTAGGGAAAAGGCCACAGGGAAGTCTATCGGACCTCTGGAAGATTTTGGATAAACACAGGGACACACATGGGTTGAACATGAGGCCCAGGGAACCATCCAGTTTATATCTTGGAATCACTATTCCCAGGGGATTAATATCTGCAGAGGGACATAGGAAACTCTATTGTGCATGGGAACCAGTGGTGTTATCTTGCCCGCTAGATGGCAGTCTACCATGTTTACATGATGTTTGTTATACATATTACATGTTGAGCCTGAGCTCATATCTGATATTTCCCTGCCACAATGCAGGGTTATGTGCCATCTTAAAATTAGTCACCTGTGGAATGGCCATTGTCACCCCACGCCCTTTTTTGTAGACTGAATGGCTCAAAGCCCTCAACTGGCAATGTTTTGGTGCCTCTGGGTTCTAGCCATGCCCGGTATCGCCTGGCGATTTGTGAGTAAAGGTTGCTGTTTTCGTTTGTTTTATTGGAATTTGCTTTCTTCTCACTCATGTTTTCTTTTACTTTCTTGATCTCCCACTGAGGAATTTAGGGTCTTGAAGGTTTACAGTCGAGGTTCCCAAAATAGGAAACTCCCATGGTATTTATAGAGGATCTATCTTTCGCTATCCTTGTAAACGTTTCCCATGACTATTAAAGTGGTTTACCTACATGTAAAGGGGCTGAATTCTCCCAAAAACAGTGATTACTGCTCAGAGAACCCAAGGAGAGACAGATTCCACTTACAGATCATATCTATACGAGAGCGTACACATCCAGCTCCCTTTGCAAGCACAGTCAGGTTGCAATTTTAATTCATAAAAAATGTATGTTTGAGGTGCTCCATGTAACAAATGGCTCATGGGGATGGTTTATTCTTCTTATTGGGTGCCTGGGGTCAAACGTACTGCACTTGTTAAACATCTAAGTCCCAACAATAGTAAACAGGGCATTTTAGGTGAAGGTTAGGGGAGGTTTTTCCAATGGGGAAAGGGGGAGGGGGATTGTAATGCGACCCAGTGTCCAGCTGCTGACAGAAGTACTAAATTAGCAGTGCCTATATCCCAGGGTGTGGGGGTACAAGGCAAAATACTTAGATGGTTCATAGATGATTGGCGTGTGGAGGGCCTAAGCATAGCTTTCAGCAAATTTTTAGAGATTACATTGCTGAATTTTGAACGTGACATTTTCAAACTTAACTACTTTAAAAGGGTTTTAAATAGGTCAGTCATGTGGTTAGGGAGGCTTAGAGTTAAAATTTATGAGGATAAGGGTTAGAGCATTGTTAGCCCTGAAACTCCTGCTGTTGGTAAAAAAGCTGACCACTTAAATCTCAAGTAACCCTCAAAAAAATAATCTTATTAACATCCATGCATGGTGCACTAAAAGATGTGTTTAATTGCCTGAAGATTACACAAATCATGTAATGTGTTTAAAACATGTTACTTCTTGAGAGAGACTGGAACAAACTTTAAAAAATAAGAAAAATTTAAATATATGCATTTTGGAACCACAACCATACTTCCATCCTGCATCTCTATAAAAGAATCAGAAAAATGAGTTTTCAAATTATATTCTGTCGGGAGGATCTGCTAAGAAAAAATAAAAATAAAATAAATAAGTTACTGTGATGAGACCAATCTCGCCACTGTGCATTGGAGGAGCCTGGTTGCCTGCCTGCTGCCTTTTGACTATGGACCGGCATTTAAATACTTTATTTTCCTATGCCCTGGCGTTCGGTAGATTCTCGGATTTACTTAATGAACTAATTTAACCCAGATAGCTATGTCATGGAGCCTATTCGTGTAATAAAAGACTTTGGCTCCATGGCAATTGAACTATGTGTGTGTGGTCTGAGCGCCATTCAGTAATAATGTGCGCTCAGACCTAAGCTATCTGGGGATATGTTGCATGTCTGTATTGTATGTAATAAATGTAACCTTGTGTATTTTATTGTATTTTACTATCTTTTTACTGCCATGTGCTTAATGGAGTTTTGCCTCTGTTCTTGGAGATAATTTGATTACTTCCCAATTATCTCCAGGATAGAATACTCTGCGGAACTGGTTTTGGGCAGAAAAGCCATGCTTCTTTTGTTCACAAAGGACTTCGATCTATTTTTTGAACCAATGGACCAATTTGGATGATTTTGACATATGTTTGTATTTGGAGTATGCTGATTCTGAAAATGTAAGTGAATGTGAAGTATACTTTTAAAGTTATTGATTATGTGGAAAAACTGTATTTCTCTGCCTGTGATAATTACATTAACCCATTGTGTAAGGTAATTGTATTACAGGCAGAGGGGAAGATTTTGTGTGGGAGTGTCTGAGTGAATTGTACGTGTTTATTGGTTGTTTTCCAAAACCCTGTGGGTGGTACTAATGTGTAAGAATGTGTATATAAGAACAATAAACGTACAGCAATGGCTGTTCCTGCTTGACCCTCAACAGTTCGACTGCTAGGAGTGTAACCCTTTCGTATGGTTTTTCCTATTCGGCTGTTTACACCATTCGTATGTTTGAGAGCATTTGTATGCTTCTCCAGTTCGGTGGATTGGTGGCTACAGTAGCTCCCTGTATATCTGGAAGGGAATATCTCCTAAACAGCTGTTTAACCCCTTTTATGCCTGGGGGTGCCGTTACAGTTACTATTAGGACTATTAGTGTTAATATAAAAATTACTCATACTGTGTTTCCCCAAAAATAAGACCGGGTCTTGGATTAATTTTTGCTCAAAAATACTCACTATTTTCAGGGGATGTCATATTTTTAGGGGATGTCTTTTATATATTACAGGTGGTCCTCACTTACCGACTGGGTTCTGATCTTAGGACAATGTCGTAAAGCTAATTTGCTGGTAAGTAAGCATGTGCAAGAAAGCAGGTCTACGTTCGGGGGAATTCAGTTCACTAGTGCATGGAATTCCGCAAATCTATATTAGATGGAATCCCCGAACATAGATTAGTTTACCAACGCATAGCATCCTGCAAATCTATGTTTTGGAGAAACTTCTCTGAACATAGATTAGTGAACTAGCGACGATCTCAACTAGGGCTTCTATTACGAGCATCCCCTGAAAATAAACGAGGGCTTATATTCGGGGAAAAACTGTAATAGTTTTGTTTTTTTATTCAGATAGTAATTTAACACCAAGACACTAGCACTAGCTAAACAGGGTTGAAATGGGAAGAAAGGGAAAAGGAAATAAGATTAGGAAGGTGAAATAGGCACAGAGGAAACCGGAGAAGGTAGAAATGGTCTCAAAGAGAACTGAATGCGCATTTAGTACCTAAAGAACTGACCCAAAGTCCAGCAAGGGATCATGAAAGTCGCCCATGAAAGTTGTCCAGCAAGGGATGATGAAAGAATTCCAAGTGCAGCAAGGGATCATGAAAGTCGCACAAATATGGTTAGTAAGAAAAAAAAAATTTAAAACAAAAAACCTTATAGCAAATTCTGTGTCTTTTTAAAGTGTTTCTCAGAAGCTTTGAAGAATATAAAAAAAAAAATCATATGACGTTTTTAAGGAACAGACCAATATACAACACAATGTTTTTATTAGGTTGTAAACATGTAGATGGAGGTTACCAAAATCTAAATTGCAGAGCAAGTCATCACTTCCGATCAAACTCTTCAACATCGAACTGAGGTTTAGGTTTAGTAGCTTCCTGCATAAGTTCCAGTAATTGTCCAATCTGCTCTTCACGAAAATAATTAAGTTTTTCTTCTGACAGCTCAGTTCCATATCTTTTTTTCCCACCTGCAGTTCCCCATTCTTCTTTGGCTTGTTTCAACAATACCGTAGCATAGGCCTGGAAAATAAAGGGAATTAAAAGCAATGAACAAATGCCGCATCCTGTAGTTTCAATTATTATAATGCATGGGCAAAGAACCAAATAAATTGCGTGACAATTAATAACACTTAATGGAAGTCATTGCTCATCTCGTGACAGTCTACATAGCTGGACTGAAGCAGAAATTATTGGAAAATTCTTGCTTTTATATTCCTGAGCAACTTTGACCAGCATCCTTCGTTAAGAAAGGGGATGACTGTTCTGATTGCATCTAAACAGAGACACTCCACGTATCAACACACGTTTTATGCTCCTTCATAGATATACACTTAATTTGTTGTAAATTTTCCAAAATGATTTTAAAAACAGAATCTTCTGCTGTAGGTTTTAATGTAAGTTCACTTCGTCAGTCACAAACTGCCTCCTCCCTTCTGAAAAAAAAAAAAAGGTTTTTTTTTTTTTTTTTTTAAACCAGTAATTGTCAGGCTGTACAGAACGTCATAGTTCAAGCTGGTGTTTAGGCAATGAAATGCCCTTAAAACAAACAACCACAGCACATCACCCCTTTAACCTGTAAATAATGCGTACACATGGGAGGTTGCACATAGGGACTTTAGTGGGGCTGGAAAAGGTCTTCAGTTGGGTGGAGTGGGGAGAAGACTTGTGCGTGAACCATGGAGGTGATTTATGCTGGAGAGAAGATATAGCAGTGAAGAAGGCAGGAGACTTTGAAGGAGCAAGGAGGGGACACAAATGGAAGAGTTAGGAAGGAAGTGGCTTTTGTGGAGCAGGGATGGTATGTAAGTAGAGCAGAAAGGAATTTAGGCACAGCAAGACTGTGTAGGAGCATTCTAACTTGCAGGGAACAGTGACTGTGGCATCACAGATTCAAGGCATGCACGAATGAATGGACAAACAAGCAAGAACAGCACTGACGTAATGATTCCCAGTGGAGCTATGTATTTCACAGTGTTTTAACCATCAATCAGCTCACTGAAAAAGAAACTGGATGGCCTTTATGCTGAAGTATCTGCAGGAGCTATGGATAAAAATGAAATAAGAATCTTATCTACCGTCTCGAGGGCTGCACCTCGTAACACCTCACATTCCACCCTCCCCCCCCCACAGGTTGCACATTAGGTCCATCATGTTAACCAGAGGGTGCTAGCCTCCTCTATGCATAAAAACACACTATTTACCTAGCAACTGACTAGGAGGCAAAAGGTCTATTCCGCCTCAAAATGCCCCTAACTGTAAATACATACTCTACTCTAAGAGGTGATAGACCAACCAGACACTACCACAGGCTATACAGCTAGGTTTTTAGTTCCCAAAACTGACCATCACACACTAGCCTGCAAACTTACTACTTTTGAATACAAAATGTGCTGTTTCTAACTGCCAAGCTTTTGTCTATAATGTGTTGAATCCAAAGTACTGCAAACAGTTCACTACTTTTTGTGTTTTTAATATGTTGAATCCAAAGTACTGAAACTGCCGTTGGGGCAAGGCAAGTGCTACTGTTATACTTTGCATAACAAAAATAAAGAATTAAAAAAAATATATATTATATTTCTTATTTTATTTTTTACATTTAAAAGAAAATAATATTCAAAATGTTTTACCCTCTACCATTTTAATGTATTAGGGCATTTACACTGTCCAACAATAGGGGCTGTCCTAATTCAGGCTGCTTCATTTTTATTGAAAGGGACAATCTAAGCATCAACATTATTTCACTTCAGTGAAGTAGTTTCAGTGCATAGAAATTGTCCCTGCACTCTGGCAATGTAAGCACTGCCATTTCATAGGAATGGCAATGTTTACATTTGGCCATAAGTATACATTTAGCACAAGGCAGAGCCAATAGATGTGCTTCCTCACTGAAGGAAGTTTCTAGTTAAGAAAGTATTCAGAATTTATTGAAAGTCTTCATGTTCAGAGACACCACTCACAGCAAGATGAAGTCAAATGTTTCGAATGCTTCTCATAAAAAAATGGTACTTTAAGAGGAGTAACCGACTGACTGAGCACGGTGATTGCTCTGTGAGAAGCATTGTACTGTACCAGAAAGCAAACAGAAGATGATAGGGGCAGCTGCTGAAAAAACACTGCCCAGCATTGGACTGACTGAATGTACATATAGTTTTTTTTTCCATTTTAAAAAGTTGGGGGGCATACTCTAAAGGTTAAAGAAAACGCTAGTCCTTTAAAAAGATTTACTTTTTTTTTTATTTTATTTTTTTCAGTGTTCCTACATCATCGTAAACCAGGCTGCATGAGTACATACAGAAAGAAGGATGTAAATTAACCCCCTTGGTACACTCTGTGCAGGTGCCGTGAGGGCACTTGAATACCCACATCCATTTGGAAGTAATGCCCAAGTGTGCATGTTCCCTTTCAGAATTTGTGATTTGGATGCCCAGTAGCACATAGCTGTACCTGGAGCATATTTGGCCAATAATATTGAGCTGAACAAATAGGTGCTGGAGATTTAAGAGTGTTTTACTTACAAGCATGGATCTCCACTTCCCTTAAAAAGCTTCACTAGCATTTACTGGATAGAGGCAGTTGCTCTTTAAAGTGGGAATTAACTCGAGGAACATTTTGCTTGTTAAACCTCTTCGAAATAATCTAAGTCTCTACATGTTACAATAAACATCCCCATTTTAGTGTCCTTTGGGCATTAATATCTCCAAGCACATGCATATACAAGAAGTGTGTTTGGTAAACTAAATGCAGTTTTTTTGATTGTGCCCATCTGTTCCAACCAGAGAGGTGTAGTCAAAAACTCATGCATATTTTATATACAACTGCTGTTTGTAGGATATCTTCTAGACACTTATTCAAAAGAAACAGGCAGCAATGCGATATTGCTTGCCAAACACGCGCGCTTGCTACATAACATTTTTTTTTATTTATTTTTTTAAACTGGAACCTTCTTATACATAAAGACAAAGAATAAAAAGAGTAATTATAAATAAAACATTTAAAGGATGCTATGGGCATAATTACAGAGACAAACACTAGTGTCGAAAATAAACAATGGATAGTATATTATAGTATTATTTAACAGTTTATATGCATATTATATAATACAATTATTAAATGGGTGGTAATAACCTGGATACAAGAAACAAATTTTAATCATTGATAATTTACCATAATTCCAAGATCTATGCAGCATTACTATGAAAGGTAGGGGAGTATTAGAATTATCTTGCGCTCATACCCCTATTTATGTCACAGGATCAATAAATTGACAGACATTTGGGAAATTGGCCAAAGTGCACAAAGCAATGTTGCTCTGACCCACAATAACATTCATTAAAACAATTAAGATTCCCACGTGCTCACTGCATGCAAACCTCTTAGAATCTAACAAGCTTGAGTATCTATCTCAGTGAAGATGGACAACATTTACTGTAGAAGGGTCCTGCAACTAATAGAAATTCTAAATATTTGACCATTTTGAAAAAAAATTATATGTTTTAATAAAGGTAAAGCTATAATTGGGAAACATTTAAAAATGATTGAATTTAATTGTTTCATATTAAACTGTATGAATTTCAAACCATTTACTAGAAAGCAATGTGTCTTACTCTTTGCCAGAGAGGGGCTTTAAAGTGTTAAAATTTAGGTTAATTTAGCAGCCTTCTTTATTTCAGGACAGCACAAGTGAATTTCACATTAAATATTCTGCATTTATCATATCATCCAGAATCCTGAAATACGACTTTTTATAAACGTCTCAATACCTTAGGATTTCACATATTGACTACAATTTAACAAATACCATACATAAAAGGCTGATGTGTGTAACAGAGTCTATCTTTTTTCCATTTTCTCCCTAGCACTGACATTTACACAGCTGCAGACAAATGTACATCTCCTGTAGTTCAAACCCCTACTAGCCACAATCAGATACAAACTCCTAAGTGTTGTTAAAAAGGATGAGCAACAGAGTTGCAGACGTATAATCACCAGTACCAAACCATGGATTGCCAGTCAAAAGAAAGCATTATAAAGTCAGACAAAAGGCAGTGGCTGGAGGCAAATCTTGCTTTATGCAACTTTATGCAGCCACCTACTAGTATGAAGATAAATTATCGCTCCTGAACATCACTACAGCTTTTAAAATCAGCCTAAAGGTGAGATCATTGTTCTTCTGTTGTTTACAAGAAGAGAGAACTAAGTCACTGAAACAGGTGATGATTTTTGTATAATGTTTGTGAAAATGGACATAAAGAATAAAAATGATATAAACAAATCACTTAAGGTTTAAGGGCACTGTTTGTGGAAGCAATCAACTTTGCATGAAAGGGGCCCTCTAAGTAACAAAACATTACATGTTGCCAACAGACTGTGGGACGCTACCCACTAGATTGTTGTTCAACTGTTTAGAAGCAATTTATCAAAATCTGGAGACCATCTCCTACAGTTGCATTGATCAGGCAGACGTTATACTACCTCATTATCAACGTCAATTCCAATGTCAATTCCATCCAACCTGGATCGAATTGATAGGCTGAGAGTTTAGATTTATCATGCCCCCAGTGCTCTCAGCAAACCACTGATGATCAGATTGGAGAGAATATTGATAATGCAGAAGTGTAAATCATGCATTATCAGTCTGGAAGAAAAGAATTATGGCTTCTGAGTACAAGGGACAGCCAAGATTTTGTCAAACCATTCCAAAAGGAGTAAGGAGCGGGGGGTGGGGGGGAGAACTATTAGAAACATAATTATTACACTGAACAGCAGCGGTTATGTTAGTCTAAAAACCAAAGGAAAAAAAAAAAAAGTTACCTGCGCTCTCTTCTTAATAACTATGTATATTTAGTCAATTGGGGGTCATTTAGTTACTCCAATGGCCCGCCTGTCAACGTCAAGGCGACCCCTCCTACGGGGGTCCTACACTGACCATTCACCTTGCTTCTTTGAGCTTCTAGCAAAGATATCTCCAGTGAGACAGAGAGGGGTATTCTTTATATACACCCCTCTATACTTATTAACCCTTAATAGGGAACACATGGAATGGGCGGCAGCATTGTAACAAAGCTGTGTGATACGAAAAGTGAATACAAATACAAAAAGATAAGTCCTGCGCTCACTCCCATCACTCCTGGGCGGCAGCAACGACCACAGTACACATCAGCCCAAATACATAGTAAATATATATATATATATATAAAAATCTCTGGCACTCTTCCCAAAAAAATCAAATTAATCCAAAATTTGACCAGGGTGCTTCTCTGTGCATATATACAAAACTAAACAAATGAGAGCACTCACTGGATTTAGAAAAATGTATATTAAATAGTAAGCAAACAAATCAACGTTTCGACCATCTAGCGGTCTTTATCATCTTGATAAAGACCGCTAGACGGTCGAAAAGTTGATTTGTTTGCTTACTATTTAATATAAATTTTTCTAAATCCAGTACGTGCTCTCATTTGTTTAGTTTTATATATATAGTTTGTTGCTACAAGTAAAAACACTCCAAGCACTATAATCCATACAGCGAGTTTATCAACAGTGACTTCTTACTTGGATTCTGTCAGGTGCCGCTGCCTGCCTCATCACTAATGGCGGCAACCTTTAGTTCCTAAGAAGGAACTTCCAGCATGTCTCCTGCAGTATAAGGACAGCTAACCTTATTTACTTTCAAGTCTTACCTGCATGGTTTTGGTGCTTGAACGGATTAAAAGACCTCTAGTTGCACTATTCCAGAAAGCCACTAGAGGCACTTCTGCTGCAATAACGGAGTCAGATTCAGTTAAGCAAGCAACTGCTTCTCAGGGAGCATTTAATTGGTACAGGGAGGCTTTTTGCCACACTACTCTTTCAATGCTTCCCCATGGTAGAAGCATTTGATTGGCTGAGATCAAGACTGATGATCTCAGCTGAGGGGCATGGCAGCTGCGGTGGTAGCAGCAGGCCACAGAATATAAAGTAAGCAAAACTTACCTTTTAAACCCACATGGGAGGGGGCAGCTACACAAGTTTGTATCCCTAATGATATAGTGTTTCCTTTAAAACCTTCAGACACAGAGAGCAACCGTAGTGTGACAATAAACACTACCGCCTTACTAATAGGACCCAGCATCGCGGCCTTAAAAAACACCAATAACCAATAAAAAAACAATTCTAGCTTCTATTGACTTGCGATTTTCTTTTATCTTTTCAGAGAGAAGATATGTCCAATAGACTGGGTCTGAGGATATGCTGCACAAGAGGGATGGATAAGTAGCAGTTGTTTTTTTTGTTTTTTTTTTCATGAACAATACAGAGTTACAAAGCAATACAAGCAGAACAAAAGAATCAAGACGAGTTGAGACGCAAATAAATTGAAACGTTTTCTAATTATACTACAATACTGGAAAGCAATATTGCCTTCATTCAGAAATGACAATCAAATTCATCCTTGGATCAGCAAAGCTTTTCCCAAACTTCAGAAGTAATAGGAAACTGTAACAAAAAAATAAATGGCATTCAGAATAAAAATAAAATGTGTGAAAATAGAATTAAAGTCAATCGCCTTTTTATGAGATGAAGGTCAAAATGTTGGAATACAAAGCACCCACTAATATATATTTGAGCCAGTTGAACTAAAGAGTTTGGATAATTCTGAAATATAGTACTAAGAAATCCATAAGAGTGTAGATATTCATTATTACTTTCTTTAAGGATTTGAGGCAGGTTTTACTGTTTTTTGTTGTGGTTTTTTTTTTTACCGCTATGCATGTAACCACCAAGTCACAACACATTTTTCAACAAAATCCTCCTGGAAATATGATATGTTTGTAGAACTGAGATAAAGCTTCACAAGTCTTGTTTTGGTACCGTATTAGGATTTTGTATACATATGTTCTTTATGTGTTTTCACAAATGTTTTAGAGATCTAGGGTGCGTATTTACTGGAAATAACCTGCACTGAGAAATTGCTTATGCTATCTTCAATCATTACACAGCCTAAAACAGAAGATTTCAGTCAGCTACTGCTAGGCTAACTTACCTATAATTCTCTGGCTGGCAATTGTTTTTAAAATTAATCAAATTGGACCATCTTAAAACAGCATATTTTTTTTTTTAGAAAAGAAAAGTTTCACTCTTCTTTACGGTAAACAGATATAAAGAAAACTAAGCTATGATGTTCCTATTGGGTGCAATTTCGCATTTTCTAGGAGAATGCAAAATGCTATTTAATCCAGACAGCTAATATCTAGTTTTTAAAAAAACATCAATAAATTGAGGTAGTTCTGTCTTATCTGGATGTTTCAATTAGTAAAGTGAATATGATAATAAGGAAAAGGTCAAACAAAATTGCAGCGGCAAACCAGGCCCATTAAGAAGGTGAAGGCAAAAACACACAGGACGAAAATCAATACGGTGTTAAAAATGATCCTCCATACTGCAATTAAAGCAATTAGCTAGGAACACTATGATACTGGAATACTAAAGAGTACAAATAAATCACTGCAAACTTTGAACTAAAAAAAAAACAAATAATTCCTACACCTGAATAAACTGACAATGAGCAGGCATTAAGTAAAATGAGAGGGATTTCTACAAGTAAATAATATTTTAATATAGTATTCCAGATATTATTCTCACTCTCAGCAGACTTTGCGATCTGTTGTCCAAGCTTTAAAAAACAAAAAGTTTTTTAACTTTACCTTGACACAATTCACACTGTGCATTTGGATTGTCCAGAGCATGCATTTTGGAAGTGGCATTTTGAATGCGGACTATATTAAAATCTACTATAACACAGATAAAATACCATGGAACGTTCCCAATTTAACGCAATGTGCATTTCTGAATTATTTCCGATTGCCAGCTTGTCAAACTTGTTACAAGCTCATTGCAAACACTGTTTTACATACAGTGCAGAATCAAACAATTTCTATTTTCTGTGGTAAGAGAGTCTCATACATTTTCCAACCACCGATTCTTGCCGCGTTGATTAATCACTGCACATGCGGAGTGTATTGTTTAGTCTGTCTGTGCATGTTCGGTATGTTGGTCTTTCATGTTTAGTGCATTAGTTAGCAGGCGTTGTGCTTATGATTGTATGTGCATTCTCAATGTATTAGTCTAACAATGTTAATTGTGTTAGTCAGTCAGCACATATTCAGGGTCTGTTGGTCAGTCTATGTATGTTTGGCATTTGCGTTCATGTGAACATGTTCGGTGTTTGTTAGTCAGTTTCCGTATTTTCAGTATGTGGCGTAATTAGTCTGCACTTGTTCAGTATGTTGTGTAACCACTTTTTACATGTTCAATTCATTGGTTTGTCAGTCTCCTCAGTGCATTGTTTGGTCAGTCAACACATGTTCAATATGTTGGTTGGCATGTCTGTGCATGTTTAATGCATTAATCAATCTGTTCCTGATCAATGCATTGATGGTTAGTCTGCACTTGTTCACTAGACTTGTGCATTCGGTTTCATCCAAATTACAATTCATCCAAATTTAGGCCAGTTGGCTGAATTCCGTACCTCTGAAGCGGTATACGACTTACAACCAACTAAACAACTAGTGCAATGGCTGTACATATTCATGTGTGTCAGTATTCAGAGTTCCACTCATGGCGGAAAAAAAAAACAACACAAAAAAACATGATAAGGGAGGAAATTATCTAAATGTTAAGGGACAGCCACTAAATGAATATGGATTTTATTCAGATCAAGTGAGAAGTGACCAATTAAGAGAAAAAAAAAAAAAAAAATGAATAAATACAAAAAAATATATATTTACATAAAAACACACACACACACACACACATATTATGTATATATTTTGCAGAGCACTGGCCCATATTTGAATCCTTTTTATAGTGTGTCTAAACTTTTGACTAATCAATCTGTGAATGTCAATGGGTTTGTTAGTCTCTAAATTTTCAGTCCCTGTTTCCTGGGACTGTGCATGTTTAGTGTGTTGGTTGTGCTATCCTCTACGGTCTACCTTCTTTTGGTTTTCAGGAAAGGAAGCACACCCGATGAAAGACTGCAATACCAAGGTCCTAAATAATTGACAGGCTAGCTTTGGCCTGGGCAAAGCTAGCACATGCCCTCAACTACTGGACCCATTATGCGTCTGAAACTTTATCGCCAGAACAGACTGCAATGGAAAGACAAAGAAGCTTATTATAAAATGAAATCTTCCATAATCTACATGCTTCTTACTGAAATGACACACAAGAGGCCATTTCAAAGCCGTGCACTTGTATTTAAATCATATTCCTCGTAATTTTGTTTTCCACAGTGAGTCCACCATACAGAAAACATATTACAAATATTAAATTATTGCTGCATTTTTATGTAAGAGCAAGAATATAAAAATGTTTTTGTTTTTTTTAAATGTGGATTTACATAGTTTCTGCTCTGAAGTATGATCATTTAAAAACATCGTTCAGAGGCACACTAAATTAGAAACTAGAAAAATAGATACATTGCTTTGTATTCTACGAACGCAACAGGATAAAAAAAATACTATATAAGGCTTTACTATAGAGCAAATATGTGGGGCAAAGTGGCAATACATAGGGTGATATGTGTCCCTAAAACATGCTGAATCTCGTAACTATTTATACAGTATTCTGAATGTGCAAAGTCACATCGCTCTCGAAATCTAATTAAACCACTTTATCATATCAGACAGACAACATTACTGTCTGGAAAAAAAATGCAATTAGCATGGATACAGAGGTAGATTACATGACCCTTAAATACTATAGGTAAGTAATAACAAACAGGACAAATAGATTGATATCTGCTAATATAATATTACCCAGACATGAAAAAAAAAATTGTACCAAAGCAAATGACGCCTAAAATGGGTTTTAATAGATCTGGAATTCAAACAATACATTCTTACATACATTTACTGGACCTACCTAAACTTAATGTAGGGAGACGGTTTACTAAAGGATAAGAACAAGACAGGACATGATAATCATAGACACATAGAATGTGACGGCAGATAAGAACCATTCGGCCCATCTAGTCTGCCCAATTTTCTAAATACTTTCATTAGTCCCTAGCCTTATCTTATAGTTAGGATAGCCTTATGCCTATCCCACACGTGCTTAAACTCCTTTACTGTATTAACCTCTACCACTTCAGCTGGAAGGCTATTCCATGCATCCACTACCCTCTCAGTAAAGTATGGTCTCCTGCTTTATTGTGTTGATTCCCTTTATGTATTTAAATGTTTCTCTCATATCCCCCCTGTCTCGTCTTTCCTCCAAGCTATACATGTTAAGTTCCTTTAACCTTCCCTGGTAAGTTTTATCCTGCAATCCATGAACCAGTTTAGTAGCCCTTCTCTGAACCGTCTCTAAGGTATCAATATCCTTCTGAAGATACGGTTTCCAGTACTGTGTACAATACTCCATGTGAGGTCTCACCAGTGTTCTGTACAATGGCATGAGCACTTCCCTCTTCCTACTGCTAATACCTCTCCCTATACAACCAAGCATTCTGCTAGCATTTCCTGCTGCTCTATTACATTGTCTGCCTACCTTTAAGTCATCAGAAATAATCACCCCTAAATCCCTTTCCTCATATGTTGAGGTTAGGACTCTATCAAATATTCTGTACTCTGCCCTTGGGTTTTTACGTCCAAGATGCATTATCTTGCACTTATCCACATTAAATGTCAGTTACCACAATTCTGACCGTTTTTCTAGTTTACCTAAATCATTTGAGGTTTTGCTAGGATGCACCACCCTGATCTATTATTTTAGTTACCCAATTACCCAATCAAAAAAAAATCAATAAGATTAGTTTGGCATGATCTCCCTGAAGTAACCCCATGTCTCTGATCTTGAAATACATGTAATTTTAAATGTTCAACAATTTTATCCTTTAACATGGTTTCCATTACTTTCTACTACTACTGAAGTAAGGCTTACTGGCCTATAGTTGCCCGACTCGTCCCTACTACCTTTCTTGTTAATTCACTAATTGTTAATTTTAAAACAGTATATAAAGAGTACCCTGGTATTGTTATGTCCTAGTCATTTTTCTCATTATACCATGTCTCAGTAACAGCGACTAAATCAACATTATCAGTTGCAATTATTGCCACAAGTTCATGGATCTTATTCCCTAAACTGCGAGCATTTGTAGACATGTCTCTAAGCTTATCATTTTTAACAAACTTGCTAAAGGCACATTCTGTCCTTGTTTTGGGGGGCAATTGGATTGATGTTTTATCACCCTTTTGCCCCCCCCTCCTAGTTTAAATACATCCTAGCAAAACCTCTGAACTGCTCACTGAGAACATGTGTTCCCTTTTGAGAAAGATGCAAACCATCTTTTTTGTACAGCTTATTTCCATTCCAAACAGAGCTACCATGAGAAATGAAGCCAAATCCTTGCTCCCGACCCCATTCACCAAGCCACAAGTTAAAGTCCCTAATACGCATCCGCCTGTCGTTCTGAGTGTTATGCACAGGCAGAACTTCAGAGAATGACAGTGTGGAAGCAACCTGCCGTATATCATTGGCAAAAACACTAAAAACTTCCTTAAGCTCTGAAACCTCATTGCAAGCCATTTGTCCCTAGATGGACAAGTACATCCAATTCCCCTTCCTGCTTTGCTCGCTTAACAATATTACAAATACGTCTGCTGTCTCTGTGAGCAGTAGCTCCGGGAAGACATCTCACAAGACTACGATTGTCCATCTCCACACCGCTTATGATGGAATCCCCCAACAACAACAACTGCTTTCTATTAGGCCTCACCACAATCTCCAAGCCTGTTTCCACAACACCACTACCCTCAGTGCCTGAGCATGTTTCCACAACACCACTACCCTCAGTGCCTGAGCCTGTCTCCACAACACCACTACCCTCAGTGCCTGTCTCCATAACACTACTACCCTCAGTGCCTGAGCCTGTCTTTATAATACCACTATCCTCAGTACCCGAGTCTGTCTCCATAACACCAATACACTCTGAAAGTGCAGAAAATGAATTATGTAGAGCAACAGGCTGTGCGATATGCCTTTTATCCACAACTCTAAGTCTACCAGATCCTACAGTAATCCATCTGCCATTCCTAGGACGTCTCTGCGGCAGTGGCTTTGCAGCAGTTCCAGCCTGTTTGTTTACCAGATAATTTACAAATCTCAGACTTCAAAAATACAATCTCCTGCCGCAATATAAAGAACTGTCTACAGATTAGACAGCATCCAAATTTCCAAAAAGTGGAACGTGAAACAAATGCATAACAACTATTACACTGAACTAAGTCTGCCATTTCAATGAGGTGAACAATTTAAATCAAACAAATCTTAAATTTTTAGTCCTTCTAAATACCTCAGATTACCTCCAGTTTATCTCCAGAATATCTCCAACCACACACTTAGAAGCAGCACTCTCCAGAATATCTCCAACCACAAACTTAGAAGCAGCACTCTCCAGAATATCTCCAACCACACACTTAGAAGCAGCACTTAGATGAAGCAACCAAGCTATATTAGCCAAGCTAATGACGACAACAACCCTTACATAACTCCTACAATCACCACCCACTAGGAATGTTTACACCTGGGTAGGCCTAGGCTTATTTGCAAACAATAGTTAATTAACCAGCAATCAGAAGCGGCTCTCTAATTAGGCGGTTTAGGCGGCCGTCTAAGGTCCTCTGTCAGTGACCAGTCTGCAGCTCCGTAGTGAGCAGAGCTGCAGACCATGTGTCTCGCGAGAACTCTGCAGAGCTGCAGACCGGAAGCAATGGCCACCGGACCACCAGGGAGCCCACTGGACCACCAGGGAGCCCATTGGACCACCAGGGAAGAAAAGGTAGGTTCTCTCTCACCTCCCTCACCATCACCCCCCCACCACCCTCAGCCTCTCCTCCCCCCACCACCCTCAGCCTCACCTCAGGCCAGGTACAGGTCAAGGGCAGTAGCTGTAATAGCTGCTGTGGACTGCTCTACTCCAGTGTGGATTCCCATTCACAAGTGCTGTGAGGAAGTGATCTGAGTGCTACAAAGCGTAAATTAAGTTTGTTCCCTCACGATCTGCAATCACTGCTCTGTTTGCACTAGCAAATATCTGAAGTCCAACGGGGACTCCCAATACGCCTGATCCTGTTTGTCTCTAGCAGCCTTGAGTGCCATGCAAAGGAACCTTGAGTGCCATGCATGGCATATGTGCCATAGGTTGCTGACCCCTGCTCTAGTGGCTGTCACACTGACAGCCACAAGAGCCACATCCATAGCTCTGACCTTGTGAAACTTGGTCATGTGATATTGCAGCTCAAGACGCAATAGGCTGAAAATAGGGGCATTCAGAGGTATGTCTCTGTTTGGTAACTGTCTAATGTTAGCAAGGACATTGTTATTTCATATAGACTGATGACTGTTGTCTTAGAGGTTTGGGGCACCTTTATAGTCAAGATTTTACAAATGTTATGTAATTATGAATATCTAGTAATTAAAGCGCAAATATCCAAAGTCATACTATTATATGTTTTAATTTACTGTAAAAGTATCCCTACTTGAGTACTTAAAACTGTTTAAATTGGTAGAAATAGGGCAAAACTAGGTAAGGTAAGTAATGTTATATAACAATAAGGAAAACTAAGTGGTTGTGGCGTTGGTATAACAGAGCAAGCATATAAGAGGATAAGAGGATAATGCGGAGAAACAACATAAATGGATGCTTAAAGGGTTACTCCAAGCACCATAACCACTATAGCCCACTGTAGTAGTTATGATGGCTGGGGTAATGGGGCAAACTGCTTAGTAAATTTTTGCCTTCTTTCAGGGGTTCCTGTCGGGCTCTGAGGCTATCCTCCTCCTAGGTGACATGCTTTCATGTTTGGGGTTAAAAAAATTAAAAAAAAAAAAAAAAAACACATCACAAAGCAAGTTGTATCAACCGAAGTTGATTTAATAAGAAAAAAAAAATGGAAAGTGAGATTTTATGAATATTGGACTTTGTCCTTGGAAAATTGCAGTTGTGTGAAGATACGTATAACCATGTCAGATATAAATAACTTGGTTTCTTTTCTTAAATTAACCATCTCTAAAAATGTTTAGTGTGACAGGACATCAAATCTGCCAGATCCGGTTTTATATTTCTTGTCATAAAAGGAATTATAAGGAAATGACTTGCCAGAGGTTCAGTGCCTGCTTCCATTTCTAGTAAGCAATATAAGTCTTTGTACAGCCATGCCTAGAATTTATCGAAGTTGTGTCGTAGCCATGGAAGCAAAGGGCTATTAGCTCCTTAAAAGAATGCACTGCCCAGCCAAAGCAGAGATTTCTTCATTTGGTTAAGTGCTCCTCTGGACTGAGGATCATTTAAATGACAGTGATCAGGAACAGAATGCCGTGGCAGCTGACTGTTTTCCTTTAAAAGAACACTATAGCATTACGAATACAAATATGTATTCCTAACGCTATAATGTCCTTGTCCCTAGTTTTGTTGCCCCCCTCCATTCAATGATTAAAGGGTTAAAATCCCTTTTTTTAAATTACCTCTTTTCACCAACAAGGCTCCCTAGTCACTGGTCAAGTCTCCTCCTCCTGTAACGTCACAGAGATGGTGGGACCTAATGCATGGTTGGTGCCACACGCTCAGATATACCTAAAATTTCTTGAAGGTATCTTTTTTTTTTTTTTTTTTTTCACCTGTTATTCTGATATAGTTGGAACTATTTTTGAGCTGTCTGAATAGGACATAAGCAATAGAAGCATTACCACAATATTAATGTTAATATCCTGTACTTTACATTTCTAAGTGCTTCTCTACTGTGTAGTTACAAAGTAATCTAGGATTTAAAAAGACTAAAGTCTATCACGTTCAACCTTGAAACCCATTTCTTCATGTTGTTGATCCAAACAATCTCAAAAATCCAAATTGAAGCCATTTCCAGTTATGCCACAAAAAAAGGGGTGGGGGGCTTGAATAGTTCATCATATGCAGAAGAGCAATTGGTCATAAGTTGTAGCAGCAACACTATCTATACTCCTAGCATAAAAAGGATGTCCCTCTCTTTGTTTAAGTATAAATATGGGCAGCCTACATATTTAAATTTATTGTAAAAAAAAAAAAAAAAAAAAATGTAAATATTATCTTGAAAGAACTAAAAAAAAAATATAGGTTTAGTCTTAGCCTGAAAAACTGGTTGCACGGGGGCAAAATTTCTTACAAAATTTTTCCTTATTAATGCCCGGGGGAGGGGGGAACTAGCAACTGTAAATAAATATTTCTCCAAAAAAAAAAAATGAAAAGAAAAGAAAATCAATAGACTGTGACAAAAACCATGGCTTTATAAAGATACAATATACAATAATACTGAATTGCTGGTTTTGCGCTTCACTGTGAAATAACATACTCTATGATTACAGATTATAGGATTTCCCAGTTATAGAGAAAAAATAAATCATTGGTTCCTCTCATTCTTGTTTTAAAAAGATCCGAATACAATAAAAACTGTAGGAGATATCAACTGAAATTGGCTCGGGAAGAAGGTTAACGTGCTTTAATCTATTTAAACCATGACAATTGTAATTTCTTTTCCCTGGGGTCTAATGTTTGTAATGGTCTCTCTTTGAAAGCTGTGGAGTTTTTCCCTTTTCTGGTAATATTGCATTATCCATCAAGGTCGACAGACATTAACACTTACTAACCTCACACACAGATGTGTCCAATTCAAAAAAAAAAAAAACTAAACATGTTAACATGGAGCAGTTTGATTTTATACCAGGTCATAGTTGTTTTGTTTTTTTTGCAACAACAGACCAAAGAATTCAGTTAGGTCTTGCGAGTAAAACCCATCTATAAACTAGAAGAGGAGACTGTTTCACACAAACAACAAAGTAAGTTTAGCAGGTTTGTTTTTTTGTTTTTTTTTATTCTATCTGTGGAGAGACATTACAATGTATTAAATGCATTTCAAAGGTTACACACACCGTCACATCTAGACAAGGGGGATGACTCATTAGTCCTTTTAGTTTGATGAATATATGAATGCCATTTACCTGGAAATGTCAATAAAACAGTACAAGGGGCAGCAAAATAGAATGTAATAGTCTTAAATTAGAGGGGAAAAGGTTTAAAAATAATATCAGGAAGTATTACTTACTGAAAGGTTAGTGGATGCATGGAGTAGCCTTCCAGCTGATGTGCAAGATACGGCCAGGGACTAATAAAATGATTTAGAAAATTGGGCAGACTAGATGAGCCGAATGGTTCTCATCTGCCGTCACATTCTATGTTTCTGTTTCATATAAAATTTATAAGGTACACTCCAAGCACTATAATCACTACAGCCTGCTCCCACTCCAACACTTTAAGAAGGGTTTGACAATTTACTTGGTATCTGCAGAAAGTACTTCTCCACCTCCTCTGCAGCCAGGAACTACTGCAAGGAGCTTCCATTAACGCTGTACTGCACCGCTAGCTCATCGCCTTAGTGCAGCTGTGCAATGTCAGGGAATGAGTGTAACTCTGAAATCTCTCAGACTTAGCGCTGTGCAGGAGTTCCCGTCTGCAGAGGAGGTGGCAGCAATGCCTGGGCAACCCTAGGTTAGGTTACACTGGGAGTGCGCCAGGGCATAGCAGGCTGTAGTGACTATGGTGATTGGAGTGTTCAGTTTAAAGCAACACTATAACATTAGGAATACAAACATATGTTCCCAGCTCTATAATGTACTATTACCTATTTAAAATGGTGGATGTTACTTCGTTTATTACCTCCAGATCGCCATAAGTCCTAAAATGCTTATTTCACAACTGGTTTAATTTTTCACGGTGTTACAGATTTCAAAAATGACAGAAAGATGATCATTTAATGGATTTCATAACATAAAGAAACTTAGTCATAACGCAAATTGCCGTTCAATACATTTAACACTGTCATGAATAAACTAAATATAGAAATGGAAACCTTTTTTTATCTTTATGTGAAATGCAGTATGATATGTAGAAGAGTATAAGTTTGGACTATGGTCCATCTTGTTCTGTCTGTGTCTATGATAAAAAACATGGCAGAAATGGGGGTGGACTTTTACAACTTTTTTTGGGGAGAAGATATTTTGGTGTGTGAAATTTAAAAGTACGTGGATTATATAATATTAATAATTTCTAATAGTGCACACAATTCATTAAAGGTATTATTTTAGTGCGGAAAATCAAGCCCACTATAATGGCATGCTCTCCTGATCTTAATTTTACACAGCATGGGATAATTATGCAACTCTAAAAACAAACACCAGTCCAAATCCCAGCAATGTCCTACTGCTGCCTCAGCTTATCATGGAGTTCATCATTTGAAGTTCAATTAATGTTGCATCCAACTTGGGAGAACCAAATGTGCAGATGCCTCTAGCTCTACAAAATCTATTCCGTAAGATAACCTGTTCAAATGTTCATGGTTTGTTAAGATATTTTGACGGAATTAGTTACATAAGATTAATGTTAATATCAGTCCTGAAATTTTCAAGCTTGTTTGCATTGTTTAGAGAACTTGAGGGATCCTGGGGTTTTGACCACAGGTACAAGCTGATGGGAGTTTGGGCCTATATATTGCCACCCAACTTTAAAAAGAAAAAACTGTTGGAAATTTGTAGAATGTTACTAAACAAAATTTGAGTTAATATATTTAATTCTGATAACTTCAGTTTGGAAATAAATAAATGCAGTTTTAAGGGAAACCCATCCTGACAGATACATTTTACGTTGCAGCACCTCCTTAAGCAAATTATTGATCATTTATTAAAAGTACAAATGATAAATGTCATTACTTAAGAAGATATTCATCCAGTGCAATGCCGCCATCATGCTGGGTTAGTGGGTATTACAGTAAGACTAGGGCAGGGGCAACAATCTTTTGCTGCCCTAATTAAAAATCCACATTGCTGACCCTTTATTTCCATTCAAGGTCTTTCTCTCAACATTTCTCTTTGTCATTCTCTCTCTTCCTTCTTTTTCCATGACTCTTTTTACAAAGTCTTTACCATAAAAAAAGCTGCATGTGTCTCAGTTCTCTAACTTTCTGTCTATTTCTTGCTATCTGCCAGGGTCGCTTTATGCTTTGTAATTTGCAACATAAGTCCCATTTCCTGCTGTCTCTCCGCCAGTCTGCTTGTTGGAGGCTTTGTGCATGGACTGCTTGTAATGTTATAGAGAGACTGTGTGTGTGTTTTCAGTCTCCCGAAATGTCAGAAATGAAAGAAAGAAAAACATTGTAACAAACACAAAGTTACTTTAAAGTCCTGTATATTTACACAGGTCATAACAAAACAAAGTGGAAATTGCTTCTCAGTCCAATGTATACCTATCGATTTGCTTTCTATAGGGTTATCGTGCCAAGTCGCATTGAACAACCAGTGGGAAATATTGACTTTTTATGCTCACAGACTATTTTCCTCATGTGGCATTAGAAGCATTCATGTTGGTATATTATAGAACAACTATTATAAATTTTAATGAACAGGTGCCATCTGCTGGCAACAGCCCAGATTGCAACCAAAGAAAAAATTGGAACATACCTCCGCAAAAGTAGAACTGATATTTCCTATATATAAATAAATTAATAATGAACAGAATAGTAGCTGCAAAAAAATAAAAAAAAGAATGTGGCCAATATCTGTTGATCACGACAGAGTTCGGTTCTTTGAAACACATCATATTTGGCCGATTATGATCACTGATTGGATTTGTGGCCGTACTACTAAAGAACAAGCATTCTAATTAGCAGAAACTTCAATAGGTTGCACTAATGGCAGAAGAGCACCTCTTCATCTCAGTTCCCCGGAGTATGTTTGACATCCCATGTGATCAAGTGTTAATAATCGCACACTGTTCTGTCAAATTTAGATTCTCATAATCTTCTCAGATTGGTTTCCCATCTTCCAAAAAATTGAACTAAAGAAATAAATCTGACAGAGGGTTATAGAACTGAGCATCTTCTACTATTGAACATGAGATCCCAGGATTGAAGAAGATAATTCAATTTTCAAGCAACCAGGTCTACTTTTCAGAAGTACCTAATCTTCTGGAATTTGTAGAGCTTAATGATTTAGTTGATGGAAGGTATATTAACACAGTAGCTCCCTCACTCTTTGCCATTCTTATAATTAATGTATATATTTCAAGATCGCTTCATGCATTTCTCATCTGCATAGGAAGCTCAGTATTCATCAAATGAGAAATTCTGACAGCGGGCTGCTTAAAATATGCATTGGAAAATCTTACAGGTATTGAGATGAGGAATCATATCTATTAGTTGTTTTGAATGAAATGTTTCAACTGTACTATATTAATATGAATGGCCTGAAAAAAGTTTATTTTTTTATTTTATTTTTTAAAAGTTGTCTTTGCTGCAAATGCTATTGGCTTTTACTTAATGCAACATTCCAAGCACCAGAACCACTACAGCTTACTTTATGGTGCCAGGAGTGCCCTGGCAATTCACACCACCAGTAAGTAGTGAAACCATTTGACCTTTTGCCTTGGGTCCACCAAAAGCTGCTCCATGTATCCACTACTATCTGTAAAGAGAGAGGAAGCTCCTAAGCAGGAACTTTTATTAGCTCTCTGGAGAAAATCCCTGCAATGCAAGGGCTACCTTAAGGCTCAACCAGTGAGTTTAGCCCTGCACAGTAGACTCAGACAATAAAAATGTGATTGGAGTCGGGGCCTGACTGACTTAGATGGCCAGACTTGTATAATATAACAGGGAGTTGCCTAGAGATCACAATCAGAAAGCAGCTCTGGCAGGAAATTTCCACGTCTGGTCCAGCGTCCTACCAAGTCTTGTGGCCTAGTTGCCAGGGGAGGCAGCCGATCTCCTGCCCATGGTCGCATGGGCTCACAGCTATTTTATCACAGCTACTTTACCCTCCTTTGAAAACGGTTGGGGATATCACAGTCCGCACTGAGGAAACTTAACTCTCTGTAGTAGCATATTTGACTCCTGCCGAATCTGGGACCACGCAGTGAATGCAAAATGGCTGCGGTTTACAACTACCAATTTGCCAAGAAAGAACACTGAGTCCAAATTCGAACAGCTGTGCCAGGAGTTCTGGCATCATAAGCCCTACACCTCATGAATAAGCTCCAGCACACTGTAAAGATGCATCCACTGTGCCATCCACTCACTCAGAGGGTCTCTCAGATCTCAGAGTACCTGTGGGGATGCAATCCTGCCGTTTGGAACAAGAAGATCCCTGCACATAAGCCAATGGCCCCTACTTCAGCCCAGGATCGTGGCAGGTAGGAGACTAGTCAGAATGGACAGTATCCAACACACAGACAGACTCCCTATTTATTTCTTTATAAAATATTTTACCAGGAAGGATACGTTGAGATTTCTCTCGTTTTCAAGTATGTCCTGGGTCCACAAAACATTGCATCGATACAATATGGTATAGGCTATAAAATACAAAAACAATAATAATACTCTATATATATATATAAAATGTAACATAGAACAGGTAAGAAATACATAATAAACCTTGACAGGTGCATTCTGTTTTGATATGTAGAGAGGGATTTTGGCGAAGATTTTTGGCTTGGGGAATATTTGAAAGTGTGCAGGAGGTCGTTCCATATTTGTGGTGTTCGACATGTGGCAATTTTCACCTAGCAATGCAGAGATCCATATTTTTATTATGTTTACTAAATGTCTTTATACCCAGTGGTATTTCAGTTTTTCTTGTTTTAGCCTGAGTACTGCATGCGATTGCAAGACTTACTCTATGTCTTTTCTTTCTTCTCTTGATTACTCAGTCATTGACCTGACGAGCATACAGACATGTCAGAATAGCCTGATGATATCTTGTAATATGTATTTAAAATCTTGCACAGTTTTCTTGTTCTTTTCATGTTTTCTATTGTATAAAAAGTACAGCAGGCGCGACATTTTATTAAACACCTTTAATGTTTATCTCCTCATACACTCGTGCGGAAAGGTCTACACAATACTTGTATTCACAATATGCATTAAAAAATAAAAAATGTAAAAGAGAAAACCTTGCAGAGATTAAAAGCAGGAGTGAACTTTGAAAGCCTTAGTATTTTGTATACACCAGCTGTACTTATAACAGCTCACAACTGATAATTGGCATCCACTTTGGAAATATGTCTGTGACCCCCTCCTTCAGGATGTTGAGATTCTGTAAATTCACCATTATAACAATTTAGTTGGACGTGGGTTCAAACATGCTGTCGGTTAAAGTGTTACCTCAAGCACCATGACCACTTCTGTGTTTTGCAGTAGTCATTGGTGCGTCGAGTCAGCACATAGAGAGATTCACCCCTCTGCTGTCAAAAGTGTAAATCCACCTTGGTCATCTTTATAAGGGGGGTCATCAGCCAGGCCAGAACTGGAGTTACAGACTGGCTAGTGTCAATTTTGTGTAACTTTTATTGCACAGAATGTAACTCAGGTGACGCACTCAGCCAATGAATGTTGACCACCAGGTCTTACACAGCGCTGCAGAAGTTGGCAGCACATCACCGGAACACCAAGCAACCCAACTGTTTTTACCCCGTAACCAGGCTAGGATACTCCTGGCATTATAACCACTACAACAGGCTATGGTGGTAATGAGTAAACCTTAGACATAGTGGCTTTTTTTTCCACAACAGTTGGTTCATTCATCAAATTCAGTGATATAACAGAAAGCAGAGAGAAGAGTACTGGAGCAGCATTTGAGGAAAATCTCAAAATATACATGCAATTAAATAATTAATCTTAATTCATGGTATTGCTCGCTCTCTTTTATAACTTCTGCACTTTAACAAAACTGCAGCTGAAAACTGCATCCCTTATGACCCTTTCTTTTAGTGGCTTACAACTCTGTAATAGTCTGCAGTACAGCGTAGAGGAGAAGATTTAGGCATACTGCTCTCCTCCAACTATAACTTTCAATAGATACCTGCAATTACCTTTCTCTCTTTCTCCAGTGATGTTCACTCTATTTGCTGCTCCATCGCCATTATGTAGTGGTCACCTATCACCCTCTGGGATCAATCTTGCTATTTCTGATCCAATTCCTGGCTTAGGTTCCTTACGTTTCCTACTATGACATTTTAGATTTATTATCACGATTTAAAGAAATGTTACCTACCCATCATGAGACCGTTTCCTTCACAGTCCTCCACAAGTAACATATTGGTAAAATTGCTGTCTCCTCATCCTGTACTAAAATAAAATTTCTCCAATTAAAAAAAAAAAAAAAAAAAAGTTATCTCCCAACCCCACTTGTCAATCAACTGACAAAACAGAAGTAGGAGAACCCTCTTACAGGTGGCTCTCCTGCATGTCCCTTAATGCAATTAACCATGGGGAAGAGTTTCCAAAAGGTCAAATGGTGTAGGAAGGGGGAGGCATAAGCAAATTCCTATTCTGTGCCTTTGAGAGCACCTATGCTAAATATCCCTCACCCCTGTTCTTACTATATTCGATGGCTACAAATATAACTCTAAATTAGGTTGAGAAAGAAAAGTCAAATAGTGATATAAACCAACAGAAAATAAATAGTAAAAATTGTAAAATGAAAAACTTACAGAGCCAGATATGAATACTTCTAAAGTAAGTGAACATCTGATTGAAAAACAGGCATCATTCCCTTCTCGCAGTCCCTCTACCTCCCTCCTTTATATCTGTTATTTTTTTGTTTTGTTTTTTTAAAACCCTCCCTCTCTGCCTTATCACTCCCCGCCCCCTCCCATCACCGGCACAGATCGCACACTTGCAATGGAGCTGCTGTGACACAGGATGGAGGAGAGAGAGACTTTGATTACAGGAAAGCAAACAAAACAAAAAACTAGAGAGGCTAGCTAGATATACCCAACGGGGCAATATGGGGGGGGGGGGGAGAGAGGAAACGCATTAGTTACAAGGTTTGGAGTAATCCTTTAAGAAGCAGGTCTGGGTGCACACCTCAATGCTTCCTTCTGGACTGGGACAGAACAATTGCAGTGGTCTGCAACCAGATTTGTAGATCTACCCACTTGCTTGTGCAGTTTATGGGGGTCACAGCAGAGCCAACCCGATAACCATATCGCTGGCTCTGCTGTCTGAGACCCCCAAAGAGGACAAATTTCAAACAAAATTAGTTTGCCGATAATGAATTTCCTTTGCAATATCAAAATTTGTGTATACATGGTTCTGGGATATGGGTGCATACTTTTGGAATTGTATCTACACAAGTTCCTTCTGAAAGGGTTAAGCATATTATTTAAGTTGAATGCACATATTAACGCTGTCAGACTGTAGGACTTCACTTTAAACAATAATTCAAACAGTTATTGGCAGAGTTTTTTAACACATGGTCTTTAGCACCACCTTGTGGATAAAAAAAAAAAAAAGAAGATAATTACATTTCACAGTGATTATCATACTTCTTATTACAAGTGAGTTTTGAAGAACCACTGATGAATATACTCTCTTTACCAACTCTTTCTCATGAATTAAAAAGTGAGTTTGATGCACAAATCATACATAAGATTTAGGAAAGGATGTTCCTTTTTGCGTGTATTTTTCTCTTTGACTAATCTGTATAGCTGCATCTAATTCTGCGCGCTGATAATTCTTATACTTCTAACCACCCATTCCCTCTCCTCTCCATTTTCCTTTTGGTTGTTATCAGAGTGATTCACTAAACTGTGCAAATTAAAGGGCAATTTATATTTCTATTTTCTTTGTTCTTAATTTATTTTTTTCTATACAGATTTCAGAAACTCATATATTGTATGGTGTATACATTGTTACTCTATGCCCAAGATATGTATAATCCAATGCTATGTTGTTCTACTATATATCCATTTGAAGAAAGAAAACAGACCAAAAACTATTCTACAATACATCATAATAATGTGTTCACTACATGCAATGCGTGCAAAAAGGGCACATAGTTTGAATGTAAAAAAACACACTACAGAAGTTTTGGGGAACCACTGGCTAGCTGAGGGTCTCCGTGACATTCCTAGCCTTCAATTTTAAAGCTCTTCAGCAAGCGGATGGTGGAGGAGGAGCAGAGCAGTACGGCGCTGGAGAGGAGACTTTTCAGTTAAATAGATTGTGAACAGCTTGTATAGTACCACAGCAACATTAATAGGGAACAAAGATACAGGCTCGCTCATCAGTTTGCATTACGTATAGAGACTGAGGTGGAGAGTAAAGGCCTCGGAAAGATACAAGGACGGGTAAAGAGCATAAACAAAGGCATAGGTGCTCTAAAAACTGTAAAATTAAATTAAATTAACTGAAATGTACTAAAAGTAGCTGCAAGCTAGTAGGGCTGGACCTGTGGAATGACACCCTTGGGTGAGATTAGTCCTTGGAGCAGTCCATGCATCTCATCCCACGCCAGCTCTAAAGACATACTGTATGGGCCCAGGGTAAGACAGACCAGCCACTACGGATGTGTCAGAAGAGTCGATGTTGCCCCAACTCCTTTCCCGAGGGAGCACGGAGGAGAGGGTAAGTTAGGTACCTGGTCAGTTCAGATGTGGATAACGATATTTAGTCTAAAGGTGGGTATTCACTAGGAGCTCTGGGTGGATGCGACTTCTCCATATGGCGGTCAGGCTCCGCCCTGTAAATGGCTTAAAATTTCACTCATAGAAATTTGGGGATTTGCTAAAGAAGGGTGAAAGCATTACCCAAGCAATCTAAAAATCAAAACTGATGAGGAAATTTTGTTTTTACCCAATTGCGTTTAAAGTGTCCCTTTAAAGAAATTGTCACGAACGTCTTTCATATTTTACAAAGACCCCTCTTGTGTGCTTCGGTCCAAGGGAAAAGGTACAGGAATATATACTTATTTGAAGTCCTCTCTCATAGGCACCTCTATCTTTCAGTTGGGTTTTGAATTCAGCTCGTGGAGTTTTATCCACAAGGATCCCTTGTCACTGTTGTACTCTCATACATGATAGGTCTATGGAAGATCCAATGAGACCATAGGATAGGATCCTCCATAGGACTGCTCGAGGTTCTCTACAGGGTTACTAGTGCAATAAGAAGCCTTTTTCCACAGCCATTGCTAGCAATGGTTACTGGGAATTGATAGAAACTGACAAATGTTCCTTTATGGAATACTCCAAAGTGACAGAGGCGCTTTACTTTACTACCCCAGATGTTCAGCAATCTGCTTCTAAATCACAAATTTAGCAAAGGGTCTAGTGTGTATATTTCGCAATGCATGTATCTTAAAACCAAGTATAACAATTTTTTTATATGGTGTCATACAGCATATTTTCTATTACAAAAGACGAGTTGGCTTGCATAAACTGGGTAGCAAGACCTGAAACTATATAGAATTTTGAGCACTGTAATCTAGATCATATAAACAGCAGATTTGATAATTCTTAACAAAAAACTCCAGGCACACCTACCTCCCACTCTTTCATAAACAGCTGGGCTTCTTGAGGAGCAATGTTTTTGTGTCGTCTAAACTCATCTTTTACGTACTGGTCTCCGAGGGCTTTTAGGTGCAGGGGCAATGTCCGGTGAAGAAGTAGGATTTTCTTATATAGGGTTCTCACCTGATACAAATGAGTGGTGACCCCAGACATTTCACTACCCCAGCTGCAAAAACAAAAATTAGAAAATGTTGTGAACACAACAATGATACATATAATAATAATCAGGGGTGGCTAAACTGATACATAGGTTGTCAGAAGAGTTTAAGCTTATGGGAGTATGGTCTGACACACCTTATCTTACTATAATTTTAAACAATGTTCCGTTATCAAATATTTATCTATTTCATTTACTCATTGGGATACAAGGGTATCATTCATTATCCTGACTTCTACTGGCCAGGCCTTGACCAATATTATTTAGATAAATTGAACCTTACTAGAATGGAAGGCGTTTGGATGCAATTGGAATTGTAGAGGTTCTTGGGCAGTATACAATGGTCCACCGTGTATGTATTAGTTATATGCAAATATCTACTTCTGGTCGGTCCTTAGACATAAATAAGAATCTTCCCCTTAAGAGAAATGTCAAAAATATTTGTTTTACAGTTTAACAATTAAACACCTGGATGAACAAGATACATGAGTTAACACTGAAGTGACAAACCAAAGGAACATCTTACAAAATAACAGATCAGGCAACAACCACTCTACAGTGATTTGACTGCATTGCAGACACTCCATAGAGAGAATGCACTGGTGGATCTCAGCTCCTCGGAGTATAGAATATGTGTGGTATATAGTATTTGTTGTGCAATATGGCAATATTCCAACTAGTTGTAGTTGGATTGCCAATCCATAAGATACACAATGCAAGTGGCGATTAGCTTACTAGGTAATAATGCTCTCCTCACAGCCATTTTTGAAACAATACTGAGATTTGTGTGGTTTTCCAAATTTTTGCCAAGAACCTTCAAGATGCCTTGTCCACTTGCATGGTGCAGCACAGGAAAAAGGAGGAAGAGTGATATGCTTACTGTGTTTTCTTATCCCTTTATTTTGGCTACACATCTTGGCAGAACCACAAGAAACAGCAGCACCGATGAACAGAAAAGTGCATAACAGGAGTCTACAGACAATCCCAGGAGATCAAAGGACCTCAATATGCGGCTCAGACTGGCTATTGGGCAAATGCATGTTGGACCACGGTGGCCAACCAGGGAAATCAAAGACCAAACAATATCTCCAGCCGGGCCAATGCATTGTCAACACTCAGTGAGCTTGGCCCAAACAAGGAAGTAAGTCAGTTTATGGACTGGTGGGGAAATCAGAGATCTCCCTCGTGGTCCATTACACAGAGATGCAGAGCAGTGCACTGAGCAGCTAATCTCAATTCCAGCTAAGGGTTAAGTCCTAAGGGTTGTAAATAGAAATCACATGGCCCAGTGCAAGAATCACAAAAGGGCTCCCTATACACGCTCACTGATACACATACACTGACATACACTCACTGACACAAACACAGTCATTGATACACACATTGCTCAACCAACATAAGTTTTCAGTGACAGAAATGAAAAGACATACTGACATATATACACTCACATACACACATTCGCTGACAGGCACACTCTCACTGATTTGACACACATTGACAGAAACACACACTCATTGACTTGACAACACTGATAGACACTCACTGAGAGACAAACACTCATTGACAAACTCACTGACATACACACACTCTCACCGATTTGACACACACACTCTCACCGATTTGACACTCACTGACATACACACACTCTCACCGATTTGACACACACTGACACACACTCTCACCGATTTGACACACACTGACAGACACACACTCTCACCGATTTGACACACACTCACAGACACACACTCTCACCGATTTGACACACACTTACAGACACACACTCTCACTGATTTGCCACACACATATACATACATACTATCAGGCAGACACACACTCATTCACTCACTGACAGACACACTCTGATTTGAAACAGACACTCTTACTGTGACATGGATGTCCTGCCACTAACCCTCCTAATCATTGTTATAAAAATCAACTGTATAAAACTGGAAAAGCTAACCATAGTATGGAAATTTTAAAATACGGATTGCAATATCAGAAGATGCATTAGCAGGGGTCCAAGGTATGGCGGGACAGGCCCGTTTGCAGCTGTGACCCCTGCGACTGCGGTAGTTCCACCATGGACCACAGCCCCTACACACACACGCTACAGCCCCTAGATCCAGCTGCACGCACACAACAGCCCCTGTAACGGATCGACGGGCAACCCGACTGGGTACCTCCGTTGATGGATGCTCCTAGCGCTTCCTGAGGACTCCAAGCACTGCAGCAGACAACATAACCACCGTAGACTCCTCCAGAGAGCAAGGCAGGAACAAGCTCTTACAAGAGCTTAGTAGTGATTTAGCAAGGGAGTATGACAAGCATAGCAATCCCTTGTAGCAGATTGCCCCCAATAAGAGACGGCACTCCAAATTGAGGCTGAAGTAGAACTGACTGTATTGGCCCATACAGCCTCTTTTATTCACATTCTACAAACATAGTACTGCCCACAGGGTTTTGGAAAACAACCAATAAACACGTACAATTCACTCAGACACTCCCACACAAAAACTTCCCCTCTGTCTGTAATACAATTACCTTACACAATGGGTTAATGTAATTATCACAGGCAGAGAAATACAGTTTTTCCACATAATCAATAACTTTAAAAGTATACATCACATTCACTTACATTTTCAGAATCAGCATACTCCAAATACCAACATACGTCAAAATCATACAAATTGGTCCAGTGGGTCAAAAGTTAGATCAATGTCCTTTGTGACCAAATGAAGCATGGCTTTTCTGCCCAAAACCAGTTCCACAGAGTCTTCTATCCTGGAGATAATTGGGAAGTAATCCAATTATCTCCAAGGTCAGAGGCAAAACTCCATTAGCCACATGGTAGCAAAATACAATAAAATACATAAAAATATATAACTGTGCAGCTATTGCATAAAACAGGTACATTCAACATATCCCCAGATAGCTTAGATCTGAGCGCACATTATTACTGAATGTCGCTCAGATCACATACATACAGTTCAATTGCCATGGAGCCAAAGTCTTTCAGATAGTCTTTCGTTATACGAATGGGCTCCATGGCATAGCTATCTGGGGTATCACTGTTCAAATAGGGCAAGTACCGAATGACCCGGCTTTTGGGTCTTTGCGGGGGAAAATCAAGAATTTCAACATGGGGCCATAGTCACAGGGCAGGAGGCTGGCAATCAGTCTTCTCCAATGCCCAGTGGCGAGGCTGGTTCCGCCACAGCCCCTATACACACACTACACAAGTTCCCTCTTATAAGGTTATAAGGTCATCAAAGACAAGTTATCAACAAAAGCAGAGCTGTCCCATGTAAGAAAAACACAAGGCATTGTTCCCAGAGCGGGGCTCTGAGCATGACATGCCCAAGAGGGACAGCAAACTAACATGCTCACTTTGAGTTGACATTGTTGATGACATAAGACCTCTCTGTACCCACACACTCCTAATGGACTGCCCTGCCTTAACCCCTTAAGGACCAAACTTCTGGAATAAAAGAGAATGTCACATGTCATGTGTCCTTAAAAGGGTTAAAAAGCCAGAGCTGAATTATATTCCGAGTCTAGCCCAGCTCCATATACTTTCTCTCGAATGGGCAATTATTTGGCATTTGCATCCAATATGCATCATTTAAGAAGATGCATTTTACATTAGCCATCTCGAGTGATGACAAATAGAAAATACAAAGAGGCAGCAAGCACTACAAACTAATTTAGGTGTGCCATGTAGACAAAATAAAGCATGACAATCTTTTTTTTCCACGTTATTTGTTTCCACTGATTTAAGGCTTGAGTTATCCGCTATAAAATAAGGCTCCTGCTATAAAATGCCAGGCTGTCTCCGCCTAGATTTACATTTTAAATAAATGCAAATCTGAAAAACAAGATTCATGACGGATAGCAAACTTTTACTCAGTGTTTGCAATCTGTCATTACTCCAAGGTGACACTGCCTCTTAAATTAAATTAAATTAAATTCAAAAGCACATTCATAGATCGCGTACTAAATAACGTAAATCTGTACAAAATATCTGCAACAGATTCCTAATCTTTGGACTATACATTGACACATTCTGTTTAGGGCATTTTACAGGAAATATAGTAGGAGTAAAAAAAATAAAAACCCAACACCAAAAAAAAAAAAAACAATAAAAATACATTTTAAATTATTTTTTTTTTAAATTAGTGGTTATATGAGATTAATCTGATGTGAAACCCAATTAAGCTGTAAACAATGTCCTGACTGTGACATGCTCAAGACAATTACACTGTATTGTCAATATACTAAAATGTAACTAACTGCTAAAACATGAATGTCACCAATACAAGATAATATTTACATAAAAACACATAAAGTACAAGTATATAGCACAGGTTTGGGTTTTTATATGAAAGAGCATAATCTAACACGTTCTTCTTTCATAACCATTCTGTCACCTACCAAAAAAAAATATCCGAATCGCTGTTAACACAATTTGTCCTTCACGGTGCTCCGTAGAGGCAGGAAGTTTAGGTCACGTGACCCATGGCATGCCTCATACAGGAAGCTGAGGGGAATCCATCTTTCTTCAGGGAACACGCACACGCAACCCTGTGTAAGCGGGATACGCTTAGGAGCTCTACAGCGACGTCTATTTGATATAACCATACATACATGTCTCCACCAAAATGGCTTCTCGTGTAGCTCTATTAGTAGTGTTTAGAACTTCTTCCTGTCTGTAGGTGGCGCTGTGGTTATTTAGAATGTGAAAGGCAATAATGTGTTTGTCATGTGAAATCTTTGTGTTAGAATTATATATGATTTCTCACACTGCCTTACATTTACACTACAGTGTCCTTGTTGACTCATTTATTTGGCTCCTGTGCCCCAGGTCCTAAAATCCTGACATTGTTTTGTTCTGCCCCACCTGCTTAACAGACATGCAGGGTTATTTACTAAGGTGAAAATTCAAAATGAAAATCAAATTCAAGATTAAATTGAATTTGGTTAATTAAGAGATTATTTTGCATTATTTTGAAATTCAATTTGAATTTTTCATTTTGGTGAATAACCCTGTTGGACTGTCTGTTCTGTGCTTGTCTTGCAACAATCCTAGGTTGATTTTGTAAATCACTCTGAAATTGGAATGGAATTGGAATTATTTATAGATAATAATATTGCCTTGATCGACTACACCTTTAAAGGACCACAATAGTGCCAGGAAAACATACTCGACGGGACCCCCTCCCGTCGGGCTCTGGGGAGAGGAAGGGGTTAAACTTACCTTTTTTTCCAGCGCTGGGCAGGGAGCTCTCCTCCTCCTCTCCGCCTCCTCTTCGGCTGAATGCACATGCACGGCAAGAGCTGCGAGCGCATTCAGCCAGTCACATAGGAAAGGATTCATAATGCTTTCCTATGGACGCTTGCGTCTTCTCACTGTGATTTTCACAGTGAGAAGCACGCAAACGCCTCTAGCGGCTGTCAATGAGACAGCCACTAGAGGCTTTAGAGGCTGGATTAACCTAGTTCTAAACATAGCAGTTTCTCTGAAAGTGGCTGAAGTGGTCTGGGTGCCTATAGTGGTCCTTTAAGGACTGGACTGTTTTTGTGATGTTGTACATTTGCGACCAGGCCTCTTTTTACACTTTTTGTGGTGTTTGTATTTAGCTGTAATTTTCCGCTCTCTCATTTACTGTTCCTATACAAATTAAATTTTTTTTTAGGACAAAAAATGCTTTCTTTACATACCATTTGTAGCGTTACTTACCTTAACCGGGGGCCGGTCGCGGTCCTCTCTTCAAGCCGCGCGCGGTCCTGCGGCTGCACGAGCCGCGCGCGGCTCATCCAACTACTTCGGATGGAGGGCGGGCAGTGACCGCGTGAGGCGGTCACGTGTCCCGCCTGAAACTAAGAGCGCGCCGCGAGTCTCGGGCGCGCTCTTAAAGGGACAGTGGGTGCCTAAATTGGAAAAGGCATCCCATTGGTCCCTGTCATGCCACACTCCCCATACACTTACCTTTTGGGGGCGTGGATATGACAGGGACCAATCAAATTAGATGTTTAGGTATTTATACTCACCTTCTTCCCTTTGTTCCTTGCCCTATCGTGGTTTCTGTTTCAGTTCCCTTTAGCGCTTGTAGTGTTCAGTTGTGTTTTCTCGTATTGACTTTGGCTTCGTATTCTGACTTCGTTTTCGCTTTATCCTTATCTGTACTGTTTGCCGGCTTGCTGTTTTCCGTGTACCAGACCCCGGCTTGTCCTAGTTTACGCTGTCTCTCTGTGCCCTTGACCTCGGTTTGTTCCTGGCTCTGTCTCCTCTCATATACGTCGAGTCCGGCCATTCTAAGGTCCGGTAGACGTATCTCTCCTCTGTATTTGCCTCTGTTTAGCTGGATCCTGCGTGTAGGGGTATATTCTCGTTACATTACGATAGGGCCATGGACCCCGCAGATTTAGCTCAACAGATGGCGTCCCATGAGGCAAGATTTGTAGAGCAGGATCACCGTATGGATCAAATAGCTCAGGCTCTCCAGACGCTCCTAGCTAGAACCGTTCCAGCAACTACACCTAACCCTCCTACGCCCCTTCTCCCTGAAGTATCTACTTTGCCTAATACTTCGGCCCATTTAACACCTCCTCCTAGGTATGGAGGGGACTCTAAGACTTGCAGAGGGTTTATTAATCAGATTGAATTTCACTTTGAAATGTATCCACGTTCATTTCCCACAGAGAGGTCTAAGGTTGGGTTCTTTATGCACCAACTTACCGATAAGGCACTTGAGTGGGCAAATCCTATTTGGGAAGCTAATGGGCCTATGGTACATGATTTCAACAGTTTTCTTACGGCTTTTCGTAGAACTTTTGACACAATGAAAAGGTCAAAGAATGCCGCAAGAGCATTAATGAGAATTAAACAGGGTTCTAGGTCTGTGGCTGATTATGCTATTCAGTTTCGCACTCTTGCTTCGCAGGTAGATTGGACCAACAATGGGTTAACTACTGCCTTTATGGAAGGTTTGTCAGATACGATATTGGATGAGGTAGCAGCTAAGGAGCTTCCTATTGCCTTAGAGGACCTTATCGATTACCTCATCGATATTGATAATAGAATTCGTGACAGGCTCTATACCAAGAACAGGAATAGACGTTTTGTTACACCCATTAACCCCAGAGTTAATATACCAGAGAGTATTAAAGTGTCTGAGGAGGAACCTATGCAATTAGGGGTTGCCAAACTCTCTGATACTGAGAAATTACATAGGAGAAGGGAGGGACTCTGCCTATACTGTGGTAGGAGAGACCATATGGTAAAGGAATGTCCTTTACTCCCGGAAAACTCTCGCACCTAAGACCTTATAGGGGACTGGCCTTGGGTGTGATATCTAAGTCTCCTAAATTGCCTCCTAACCGCTTGCTTCTCCCGGTTTCTTTATATATGGGAGAGATTTGTATAGTTGACAACATATATGCTCTGGTTGACTCTGGGGCAGCTGAAAATTTTATAGACTCTGGCTTTATAAAGAGAAACAACATTCCCATCAGAGAGAAGGAGATACCCTTGGCCGTTGAGGCCATAGATGGTAGACCATTAAGTTCTCCAGTTGTTACTCATGAGACTGAACCACTACACATGTACACAGGGGTTTTACACTACGAAACCATTCGATTCCAGGTTATCACCTCTCCCTCTTCACAGTTAGTATTAGGGTATCCATGGTTACGTGCTCACAATCCCATTTTTGACTGGGAGACAGGGCAAATAAAATCATGGAGTAAGGCCTGCCACGAGTCTTGTACGTTGGAAGTCACACCTTTGAATTCTATTGAGGTACCTACCAGTCCTCCTTTGTCTATGGTTATACCCCCTCAGTATTTATCTCTAAAGACTGTTTTCGATAAAAGGGAGGCTGAGAAATTACCGCCTCACAGACCCTATGATTGCGCTATTGACTTGTTGCCTGGCACTATACCTCCAAAGGGCAGGGTGTACCCCTTATCGGTTCAAGAAAACCGTGTTATGGAGGAGTACATCAAGGAATCATTAGAAAAAGGGTTTATTAGGAGATCCTCTTCTCCAGCTGGAGCAGGGTTCTTCTTTGTATCGAAGAAAGAAGGTGATTTAAGACCGTGTATAGATTATAGAGGTCTAAACAAAATCACTATCAAAAATGCATACCCTATACCTTTGATTACAGAATTATTTGACAGGCTGAAACATGCCACTGTGTTCACTAAATTAGACCTTAGGAATGCATACAATTTGATACGTATAAAGGAAAATCACGAATGGAAGACTGCATTCAACACTAGATCCGGTCATTACGAATACACTGTTATGCCATTTGGGCTTTGCAATGCCCCAGCAGTATTCCAAGAATTTATTAATGATGTATTGAGAGATTTTATTCACACATTTGTTATCGTATACTTGGACGACATTTTAATATATTCTGCAGATATACACACTCATCACAGACATGTTACGACAGTTTTGAAGACCCTTCTTGCTAATGGTCTTTATTGCAAGCTAGAAAAATGTCTGTTTGACCAAACCGAAGTCCAGTTCTTGGGGTATTTGATTTCCGCTAAAGGTTTTCGTATGGATCCCCAGAAGCTAGCTGCTGTAATAGAATGGCCTCTACCGCAAGGTCTGAAAGCTATTCAGCGTTTTCTTGGGTTCTCCAATTATTATAGACGTTTTATCAAAGGTTTCTCGTCCATTGTAGCACCTATTACCCGTATGACTAAAAAGGATGGCAATACTCGTGTTTGGTCTACCGAGGCACTTCAGGCTTTTGAATTTCTTAAAACTACGTTCGCCTCTGCACCTATTTTACAGCATCCTGTCCCCTCACTGCCCTATATACTTGAAGTTGATGCTTCGGATATTGGGGTAGGTGCTGTCTTGTCCCAAAGAGAGTCGCCTGAGAAGCCATTGCATCCATGTGGCTTCTTTTCTAAACAAATGTCCAAAGCAGAGAAAAATTATGATGTGGGTAATCGTGAACTCCTTGCTATTATTTTAGCACTTAAAGAGTGGAGACATTTGTTAGAGGGAACTAAGGATCCTATCCTCATTTTTACGGATCACAAGAACCTATCCTACCTTAGCGAAGCCAAAAGATTGTCTTCCAGGCAGGCTAGGTGGTCACTATTTTTGTCCCGTTTCAATTTTATTATCACCTATAGGCCAGGTGATCGCAACACTAAAGCAGACGCTCTGTCCAGACAGTTCGAAACTACTGACAAACAGGAGATTGATGTTACTCCTGTCATTCCCCCAGACAGGATAATAGCTACTACTATTTTGTCTATTTCCTCGTCCCTCTTGCAGACCATACAAGCGAAACAAAGCATGGCACCTAGCGAGAGGCCTAATGATAAACTGTTCGTTGATGTTCCGGAGAGACGGGATATCATGTCATTATATCATGATACTAAGACCGCTGGACATCCTGGTATTTCCAAAACGGTGTCAGCTGTTTCTCGGTATTTTTGGTGGGATTCCTTACGAAAGGATGTCACCGACTATATAAGTGCTTGTACTACTTGTGCCTGTATGAAATCCTCCCG